CACAGGCAAACGGGGAATCTTCACTGCTAGTTCCCACGGGAAAGGTCACGGCTTGGGCAAAAACCAATGAGATCAAAGCTTTGGACTGAAAATGGGAGCGGTACGTCACAGTCTCCCTCTTTGGTGAGGAGCAACTGAACAACACGAGTCCGTGGCCACTATGGGAAAGGTAGGTAGTCCAGCGGGAGACTCCCTGACCACACAGGCAAACGGGGACACGAGGTGCAAAGAGCAACCCACCCTCCCTCCCTCCTCCGCTGCAGCCAAAACCTTCTGGGTTTCACTTAAAATCTTTTGATGAAGGAGACTGCCCAAGGCACAAAATCAACAACCCAACTTTCCATCAAAACACAGTTACAGGAGAAAATTGCTGAGACAAGGATAGACAAAGCAAGAGCAAGATGGGGCTGGATAGATAGATGGAATCACAGAGTCACAGAACACTAGGACTGGAAGGGACCTCGAGAGGTCATCGAGTCCAGTCCCCTGCCTTCATGGCAGGACCAAATACTGTCTAGACCATCCCTGATAGACATTTATCTAACCTGCTCTTAAATATCTCCACAGATGGGAATTCCACAACCTCCCTGGGCAATTTATTCCAGTGTTTCACCACCCTGACAGGTAGGAACTTTTTCCTAATGTCCAACCTAAACCTCCCTTGCTGCAGTTTAAGCCCATTGCTGCTTCTTCTATCCTCAGAGGCCAAGGAGAACAAGTTTTCTCCCTCCTCCTTATGACACCCTTTTAGATACCTGAAAACCGCTATCATGTACCCCCTCAATCTTCTCTTTTCTAAACTAAACAAAACCCAATTACTTTAGCCTTCCTTCATAGGTCATGTTCTCTAGCCCTTTAATCATTCTTGTCGCTCTTCTCTGGACCCTCTCCAATTTCTCCACATCCTTCTTGAAATGTGGTGCCTAGAACTGGATACAATACTCCAACTGAGGCCTAACCAGCACAGAGTAGAGCGGAAGAATGACTTCTCGTGTCTTGCTCACAAACCACCTGTTAATCCATCCCAGAATCATGTTTGCTTTTTTTGCAACAGCATCACATAGATAGATAGATAGATAGATAGATAGATAGATAGATAGATAGATAGATAGATAGATAGATAGATAGATAGATAGATAGATGGATGGCAGGACCTTCATATTAGATCTGAACAATGGACATAAAGTCTGGGCCCGCTTGCCCGTCTCAAAGATCCTCCCCTTTCTCTTCTTCCTTATTCTTCATTCGACCCCCATATCTGCCCCAACCAACATCAGATTCACCCCACCTTTTCAGTCTTACAATTGGGCATCCGTGGCCTGAGAACACAATAAATATACTCTCCCAAACAGCAGCCACAAAGCCGGCATCCCACATTCAACTCTGAGGCTGGGTATAATGTTACCTCAGAGGAAATTATTAAAAGGATCTGGCTAATTTTGTAATTCACACCTGGGCTGAAAACGTGGCGGAGCTGGCAGTAATCTTTAATGAAATATTACATTGTTTAAAGAGTTCCCAGTGAAACTGGTCCTTAATTGCTTTCTGATCGCTGAAGAAACACTGCCGAGAGAGAGATGAGCTCCCGTTTTATCACCCCGGGAGTATTTTCTTGCCTTTGTTTCTTTTCCCCACATTGATTCTGGAGCAAGCAGCGAGGCTGCTATTGCCTAGCCAGTAAATTCCATCAGTGTAAAATAGCCAGCACCGACCAGTGATGTATTCTTTACGGAATTTCTATCTGTTTTGTAAAGGATCCTGCATATGTACAGTGTCCCCAGACAGACGAGTTCAGGAATTATGGAACCCAAGTATGCAGCTGGAGGAAAAAAGAGTAGATAACACAGGCATCACATAACACAGGTGTCACATGACTCATCGGGGCTCACTAGGAGATCTAGAATCTGTGGACGACATAATTCTAAAAACAATGAGCCGCCCTGTGTCACCGTAGAGACTAACAACTAGAGTAGGTTCTGAGCTTTCATGGGTGAAACCCACTTCATCAGATGAATTGGAATGGAAATTACAGAATCCAGGCTATATATACCAGCAAAAGGAATTGCCTGTCAATTGTAGGATTTGTGTTAATGAAGCTAATGAAGTCAGGCTGGATGTGTTCCATTCATAACATTTCCTGTGGAAATGCAAATAGCGAAGGCAGGGAAAGTTGCCTTTGCAGTGCGTTAACCAGTTAAGGTCTTTATTCAACCTTGAGTGGCTAGAGTCAAACTTGCAAATGAGCTCCAGTGCAGCTGTCTCCCTTTGTAATTGGATGATAAAATGCTTTTGAAGGATGGCCACTTTGCATGTCCAGGCAGGTTAAAATGTTTCCTAACAGGTTTGTGTGTGTTCCCATTCCTGATGTCTGGTTTGTGTCCATTTATCCTTTGTTGCAGAGACTGGTTTGGCCAATACACATGGCAGAGGGACATTGCTGGCACTTGATGACATAGAGCAGATGAGAGGATGTGCGGGTGGATTAACCCCTGATGTGGTGAGGTCCTGGAATGGGGTCACGTGTGTAGCTCTGTGAACAGCGTCGCCAGAGGGGTTTGAGGCAGAGAGAGTTCCTGGGAGAGTGTATCTGTGGCGTGGTGTGTGGTTACTGGGGAGTATTTGCTTCAGGTTGGGGTGGGGGCTGTTTGTAGGTGAGGACTGGCCTTTCTTCTAAGCGAGAGTTCACCCACATGCAAGCAAAGACCAGCTGGCATCGCAAGCTGGACCAGGTTAATTAATCCACTGTGAAAAAGCGAGAAACGCAGCAGCTTGCAATCGGAGCATCTGGCACCGAGGCGTGGGAGCTACCAGTGGCCCTGTCAGGTGTTTTCTGTGGCTCTTCAAAGCACAGGCTATTAAAACCCTGTGCGATTTCATTATTGACCTCGCAGGGTGCTTTTACGAGGCGATTAGCCCAGTGTAGATTACTTGGATGGTGGTGCGGTGAGAAACTATTATATAGTTGAGAGAGTTTGTTGATGTGTCCAACCATCCATCCATCCATCTGTCTAGCTAAGAACTCTTAAACGGTAGGCGCTAGGACCTCCAAATTTGGTGTGCAGTTTCCTCGTCTCCTAACTTAAAACAAGGCCAGGGTTTGGTTGGGCAGGCCAATGGGATGAGCCTGGAATGGGATTGCTTCCCATCAGACCACACTGAAAAGAAACAGAATCATCAGGCAGGTGAAAGGAGCTGGCTGGGGGTATACCCTCCCTCCCCCACCCCCTGCTTCCAGCACTGCCCCAGCCATAAACCTCACCCACCCCCCAAGGCACCTTTTAGGAAGGGCAGAGGGGTTGAAGCTCTCTGTCCCCCCTCCCCGCCGATTCATACAGAAACAGTGCTGGTTGTTCTCCTTTGTTAGGAAGCGAGGGGAAAGTGCCCAGTTGGCTGCATTCCTCACTCTGGCTGGAGAGCGCAAACCTGGAGCTGCAGCCGCCATGGAGGGCTGGGGTTGTCCTTTCTCACTGGGGCAGCCTGCACCCTGTACCCCTCCTCCCCAGCCCCACCCCAAAGCAGTGATGCAAATGAAGCCTGGACGTTTTCATTGTATTTCCCACAAACCACAAATGTATTGAGGGCAGGACCCGAGCAAACACCGGGTAAATCAATACACATCATAAGTGAAACAATGGAGTCACACCACTGTGTCTTCCTTGGGTAATGCTCCTGAACCCCTGAGGCATGCCTATCACTGCGTTAATATGAACGCACAGCTGTACACTTTATTGAAGAATAAAAGCCAAACGCCCTCCCCACAACACTCTATCACACTGCCCACACACTCTTCCTGCTAGGGAGTGGATGTGAAAAAGAACAAACCGCACAACAGATGTGATGTGTGACTGAAGGGATTTCAGATCCTATGATGATGGTGGTGGTGGCAAAAAAGCCTGCAGAGAACAGAATAATCTGATAGCTCTTTTCATCTGTAGAGCTCAGAGTGCTCTATAAAAGGTGGCAAAACTCATAAAACGAGACGATTGAGCAAAAAATGGCAGATGAATTTTAACGTTTACATATGCAAAGTAATGCATATTGGAAAACATCCTCCCAACTGTACATAGAAAATGCGGGAGACTATATTAGCTATTATCTCTCAAGAAAGAAATCCTGGAATCACACTGGACAGCTCTCTGAAAACATCCAGTCAATGTACAGCGGCAGTCAAAAAAGCCCACAGAATGTTAGGAATAATTTAAAAACGGGATAGAGAATAAGACAGAGAACAGCTCATTGCCTCGATATAAATCCATGGGACGCCCACATCTTGAATACTACATACAGATGTGGTCACCTCATCTCAAAAAAGATATCTCAGCACTGGAAACGGTTCAGAAAAGGGCAACAAAAATGATGAGGGGTTTGGAACGGCTGCCATATGAGGAGAGATTAAAAAGACGGGAAAAAAAAAGGAGGAGGGGTTGGGAAGGGCTGCCATATGAGGAGAGATTAAAAAGACGGGGACTTTTCAGCTTAGAAAAGGGGGGACAAAGGGGGGATATCATGACTGGTGTGGAGAAAGTGAATACGGAAAAGTTATTTGCTTGTTTTCATAACACAAGAACTAGGGGTCACCAAATGAAATGAATAGGTAGCAGATTTAAAACAAATAAAAGGAAGTATCACTCAGCGCACAGTCAACCTGTGGAACTCCTTGCCAGAGGATGTTGAGAAGACAGGACTTTAACAGGGTTCAGAAAAGAGCTAGGTACTTTTGTGGAGGACAGGTCCATTGATGGCTATTAGCCAGGATTGGCAGGAATGGTGACCCTAGACTCTATTTGTCAGGGGCTGGAAATAGGTGACAGGGGATGGGTCACATGAGGATTCCCTGTTCTGTTCACCTCCTCTGGGGCACCTGTCATTGGCCACTGTTGGAAGACAGGACGCTGGGCTAGATGGACCTTTGGTCTGACCCAGTCTGGACATTCTTATGTTCTTACGTCAGTATCACTATCTCCATATTACAGCTGGGGACACTGAGGCACGTGGCAGTGATGTGACTTCTCCAAGGCCATCCCACCAGGCCAGTGGCAGAACCAGGAAAAAAAATACACATGCTCAAGGTATGAGTTCAGTGGTACATCCACTACAACCCACTGCGTCCCTGGGATATAGACATGTGTGGGGCTTTTCTGGCCTAATTCCCTTGGGCAAAGAATTTTGGTTACTGCATTTAGTTGAGTTCTCAACCTTGGAGGTTTGGAGCATCGGTAATTGGCCATCTGCTTTCCTTGCTTTGCTTTGTTTTAATACGGTTTATCCAACTTCTTGTCCTTTTTATTTGTGTGCTAGAGGCGTGATTTGCTGTATCCGATTGCGGCCATCTTTTGGTTTTGCCTTGATAAAGTGCTGTGCACAAATGAATTGCCTCATGATCATGGCTTTCGGGATCCCCACTTGAGGGACAGCACCTATTCTTCTCTGGAGTGCTGAAAGATCCACACGGCTTTTTGTTTTATGGAGCACTTATGCTAGATCGCTTCCCAGATATATCTTGGTAGCCTGCTAGTGCACGATGCTCAGAGTTATGTCTCGGAGTGTAGAGACCATGACTTCCAGGAAGTGTTTGTCGAGATAAATCGGTGTATGTGGAGGATGGAATAACACCAGTGTGTTGTGCTGTCTTGGCTTTCTCTTCTTTCCTGCCCAAACACAGATGTGGGTGGTTAGTACGTCACACCAACTTTCAGAGCTAAGGTTCCCTTCAATAGGGAAGAGATGGTGGTCATCAAACGGTCTTCCTAGCCTAATTCAAGTCATTTTAAATACAGGTACAAGCTCCCTGCCCTCAGATTCTGTGATGGGAGATTCAGCTCGGTTTCCACAATGTGACATCTCCAGGAAGCTGTTAATGCTCTGCTGGCCGTACAGGTGGAATTAAAGGCCGGTTGGTTTGTGGAAGAAGAGTAGGAGAAACACCAGTGACCTGGCTCAGAAACAGATCCCAAAGACCAGCTCCACCACTGATGCAATCAGCCAAGTTCCAATAGCGCGACACCAATTTATACCTACTGATGAACTGGCCCCATAACTCAAAGTCAGGTGTAACCTATTCCGTAACATGGACCAGATGGTGAAATTTCCTACATTTTCACTGCCAAGTGCTAGAGCCTTGGTCTAGAAAGCAGTCTAGGACACCTCGATCATATAATCTTAGAATCATAGAATACTAGGACTGGAAGGGACCTCGAGAGGTCATCGAGTCCAGTCCCCTGCCCTCACAGTAGGACCCAACACCATCTAGACCATCCCTGATAGACATTTATCTAACCTACTCTTAAATATCTCCAGTGATGCAGATTCCACAACCTCCCTGGGCAATTTATTCCAGTGTTTAACCATCCTGACAGTTAGGAACTTTTTCCTAATGTCCAACCTAAACCTCCCTTGCTGCAGTTTAAGCCCATTGCTTCTTGTTCTATCCTCAGAGGCCAGGAAGAAAAAGTTTTCTCCCTCCTCTTTGTGACACCGTTTTAGATACCTGAAAACCACTACCATGTCCCCCCTCAATCTTCTATTTCCAAACTAAACAAGCCCAGTTCTTTCAGTCTTCCGTCATAGGCCATGTTCTCTAGAGCTTTCATCATTCTTGTTGCTCTTCTCTGGACCCTCTCCGATTTCTCTGCATCCTTCTTGAAATGTGGCGCCCAGCACTGGACACAATCCTCCATCTGAGGCCTAACCAGCGCAGAGTAGAGCGGAAGAATGACTTCTCGTGTGTTGCTCATAACACACCTGTTAATGCATCCTAGAATCACGTTGGGTTTTTTTGCAACAGCGTCACACTGTTGACTCATGTTTAGCTTGTGGTCCACTACAACCCCTAGATCCCTTTCTGCCGTACTCCTTCCTAGACAGTCGCTTCCCATTCTGTAGGTGTGAAATTCTGTATCATGACAGATGCTTCGCTGAACTAAACTCTGCCCTGGTCAGATACTTTTCCCGATGCTTTGTGAGGACCATATTCTGTTCCTGAGCCACGGCACGAGGGCCAGCTTATAGAAGCGTGTTTCCTCTGCACACATACACAAGTAATCAAGATCAAAGGACTGAATCCTACCATTTTTTTGCCTGGAGAAAGCTTCTCCAAAGTCTTTTTTGACTAAACTTGTTCTTCCGCAGGGAACTCTGAGCCAATTCTAAAGGAGTCAGAGCAAAGTCAATCACCCAGAGAGGCTATTCTCTGTCCCTTCCCATCCTCTACCCACACTCCATTTGTATTTATTTTTTTCCCTATTTTATTTTGATTTTCCTTAAGCAGAGTCATTAATCTTCCTCACACACACACAGCTCTGACAGCTGGGGTCATGACACCTCCAGCGCCTCTGAAGGAGACACTCCGTAGTCAGGGCGGAGAGGAAAAAGGAAAAAACCTGCATAGCTCACCAGCTACTGAGATTTGATTAGAAGGCCAGATTGGGTGAGGTCATGTGAACAGGAGATGAGGGGGAAGGGAAGAGAGAGGAAAACGCCACAACTCCCCTAAGAAACTCCAAGACCCACTGAAAAGGTCAACATGCTTTTGAATCATCCGCATTGCTCTCTGACACAAAAATACACTCAGCCCGGCCTAGAGATACTTGATAAAGAAGCTAATGAAGTGGAAATATTGCGGCAAGAACAGAATAGGCCTCTCTCCTCCTGGCATCCCATGATGCTCCATTGGGTTGCTATGGAGATTTGGAAGAGAGGGGTTTTTTGTTGTGTTGGAGGGCCTTCTCCCTTCCCACTAACCTTGACCTTTTACAGGGTTTCCTCTCTTTTTTTGTAAACGATAAGGAATTCCATTTCTTCTTATCTGGTCATGGCTGGCTGGCTGGCACTGAGGTGTGTGGGGGGCCGTCAGCTCGTCTCGGCGCATGTAGATTCAACAAGGATAAGAGGAAGAAAATGCAGCGCGGATAGTTAATTAAGGCTGATATTGCAAAGGACATTGTTTGCTGAATAATGAATTCCATATGCTTTGGAAACACAAGTGCAATTAAAGGTGTGAGAGATGGAGAGAAATGAAGGGCAGAGGGGAATGAGGAGAAACGTGTGCTGGGCCATATGTGACAGTCCACAAGGTCCTTCCTGGCCCTCCACGTTGACAGGTGCACACACAAAAAGGCGCATCTTGCATTCTAACCACAAATTACTTATCAACAGGACAGAGGCGGGGGCTGCTTCGGTGCCACAGGTGACAAAGGTTGCCCGTGGGATCCAGCTAAATAGAAAATGACTCCGGAGGAATTCTGGGGCGGTTGAAGCCAGTGTGCACTGGGCGACAGGAGGGCTACAGAGACAGGCAGGCTGGAAGTGGCGGCTGCTGCATAAAAGCTAACACAAGCTCATTTTCAAGTAGCCGGTAAGGAGTGAAGAAGCACCTAGCTACCCTACCCACCTCCATTCTCTCCACAACAGGCTTCACCCAGCCCTCAGTCCCACCCGGACCGGGGCGCTACCCCCTCCCACAGCTCCGGCGGCCATTTAAAGGCCCGGGCTGTTGCCGCAGTAACGGCAGCAACGGCCGGGAGCCTCGGGCCTCTGAATTGCCGGGATCTGGGGCAACTGCTCCCTTTGCCCCCCATTGGCAGGCCTGCCTACCCACCTACCTCCTAAATTACCTCTGTGCTCCTCCCAATGCATCTTATGGGGCAAAGCTTCCTCAGGTTGTTGCCCACTGGCAGGAACCCTTCCGGCCTGCCCGTCAGTCACTCACGGGTTGCTGCATCTGATCTTTGAGTGCTAGGGGGAAAAAAAAATTCATAAAAGATGTATTGAAACAAATTTCTCTTTCAGCCAAGAGTGCTGTTGTGCAGATCGCCTTTTCATTTGGTCTCTCGCGCTGCTCCCGAGCTCACTCGCCGAACGCCGCTCCCAGCCCACCAAAACATATTCAATAAACAGGGAAATCCATCTCCTTCGGCTTACGGCAGCATTGTCTTCAGCCCCTTGGAGATGAGACAGCTGTGCTCCCGTTTATCACTTCAGCCACATGGAGCGTGATTGCAAACAAGGGCTGAAATAATAAAGGATAGGTAACATTCCTAGCAGTGAAACTCTTGCTGTCGTCGTGCGCCGAGATAACAAGGAGCAACCACCCTGCACGCCTGTCCTGTTTGGATAAGGATCTTGCCACCACGAGATACAAGAGAGATGCACTTTCTAAAATAATATCCTTGTTCATGTCACTTTGCCTAGGTTAGGTAAGAGATAGCACCCTTCCTCTCGCACACACCCTCCATGAGGAGCCAGAAAGAGTGGGAAAGCCAAGTCTTCCATGAGGATGGCCTCAGCCTCTTTCAGACCATATCAAGTGCCCCATAGACTATTGTACATGGGGGGGGCCCATTCCACTCCACTGATGGAGTGGTTCCTGGGATACGTGTGTCATGCGTCTCACCAGGATCTCCTATTGGTGTGACTGCAGGGGCTGGTCCTGTGGTGCCACCACTCCGAGCCGGTATTCGTCCGCGGTTAATGCTGGCTTTGGCCAATTTTTTTTTTTTTTTTTTGCTGAAATATTTTTCAGTGAAAATTATGTTTTCTTGTCCAAAACAAAAAAAGGTTGTATAAAATTTTCATACGTTTCAGGGGGTAGCTGAGTGAGTCTGTACTGAAACTGAAACTGAAAAAACAACAACTAGTCTGGTCGCACTTTAGAGACTAACAAAACATGTCGATGGTATCATGAGCTTTTGTGGGCACAGCCCACTTCTTCAGATGACCGGAGTGTTTCATGTAGATTAAAAATGTCCAGTTTTTAAACCAGAATCTGAACTCTTTTTCCCCAGAAGTTTTTTCCATGTTTTTTTATAATTATTCCCAGGAAAAACAACAAAAAATAGGTCCCACCCCCAAAAAAATCTGTTTTTCATTTTTGGAAAAATAAGGAAAAAATTGGTTTCTATTCCAAAGAATGAAGAACGAAATGTTCACAGGAACTTTGAAAAAATGCATTCCTCTCCCTTTCCCTCCAAACCCCCCAAATCCTGTGAAAAACTGACACTTTTCAACCAGCTCTAGTTACCATAATATGGTGCGTCTGACTTTTTAATATTTTCCTATGTTAAGAAGAGGCATACTCTCCAGTATCTCAGCTACTGCAGGAGGTAAGAAATTATTTTGAATGGAGACCACTTTCCATTGGCTTCCCGTTTCAGTGAATATGAAGATTTACTTACCCTGGCGATAAATATTTAACTTGGTTTGGCTTCACTGATTATTTACCTCTCCAGTCAATATATCTTGGTTTTTGCCTTGACAAAAGTGAGTACTTGCCTATTAGTATATTAACCTTTATAAAAGAGATAACGGCTGTTTTTCCTTTAATAGGATAATGCACCAATTAGCTAACAAAAAACAAGATTTTTGTATGGCAGTGTTTTCTCAACACCGACATCCCCGCTGCATAACTTGGCACAAATGAAGCAAAATGCATTTAGTACATTTGTAGGGCTGCTGGTCTTTTGTAATCCGTTAGCGGTTTCTAAGATTGCAATTTGCACCGCGACGAAAGACTCTCAGCAGTTTATTATTAATAAAATGTTTCAAATTGTGGAAAACTTTCCAGACAGGATTCAACGCATGCACGAGACACGTTTAGAACACAGCTGGATCCAGGTGTGATCCATTGCATGCACTAGCAGGCGGAGAGAAAGCTACGTATGACATGGACCACTTTTATCGACCCAGCTGATTTTTCCCAAACAAGCTTTTCCTGGGGACATATCGATGACTTCAAGGTCTGTTGCAGCATCTAAGTTCTGACCCACAAACGTCATTGCAATGACGCATTAGGAAAGGGGATTCAAAAGCCAACCTCTAAATACTGGAAGCTAGAATGAAATTTTCCAGGGCGACAGCTTCCTCTGAAAAAGCTAATACCGGTCACCATCAGAGACGAGATACTGGGCTAGATGGACCTCAGTTCTGACACAGTTTGGCAATTCCCATGATCCCCAATGTCCCATTATTTGGCCAAAGTCCTTTTCACACACCTCTTGTAAATGACTAAGATCCCTCTTTTCCACACACACAAAAATAGGGATATTCCTGATGACCTGAGCAATATATAGCCTCGATAACCACAAATACTAAACTCCAGGACTGTGTCTAGACTGGCAAGTTTTTCCACAAAATCATCTGATTTTGCGGAAAAACTTGCCAGCTGTCTATAC